ATATATATATATATATATATATATATATATATATATACATATATATGTATATATACATAATACTATTACAATAATATTATTTATTGTAGATTAATTCGCTGATTTTATAGAATCATCGGTGATTTTATGAAAGCACTGATTAATCTCTATTCGATCATTACATACGCACATATATATGTATACGTATATGTATGTACGTATGTATATGGCAATATACATTATATAAATAATAATATTATATTGTATTTATATAAGTTATGATGCTTCAAGTGCCTACACGTAATGTATATACATATATATTATTTACACGACTATTGTGTTGACTTAACGCGGCAACTGATCGCAATGATGAAAAGACATTTTTTTCGCGTACTTTAACCAGAAATACGGATATGTCTTCATTGAATGAAAAATCACGTTATAATAACAATGACGGGACTTCTAGAATTATGTCTTAGACCGATTTGCAAATTGCTGATTTTCTAACGTCACTATGTGACATTTAATCATAGATTCGCGTTGAAGCTTGTTTCCTCTTCGCATCCGGTAAAAAAATATATATTATCTAAATAAAAGCATATCTCTCTAAGGGTAGATCGAGTAATAAGAGTGATGAGTGCGGCTTGCATACGCTGAAGTATTAAAGTTGATTTTATTATTGTTACGAGTTTATCGTAGGGCGCGCTTTGCAACAAAGTCATTTCCAAAAATTACTTGAGTAGCTATTTATTCGTTTTACTGTGACGACGATTTGAGAGCCTTAGGCTAGTGTTAAAGACGCGTATAACTGTAGAGCGTACACGTAGAAAATGGGAATATAAGTCTCGTCTCGAAAAGAAGAGGAATAACATTCGTAGAGCAAACGTGATTACGCGTTAGCGAATTAATTATTGTAAATCTAAAGACAAAAACGGAATTCCATTCTAATAATATTTTGTTATGGTATGAAGCGAAATCCCGAGCGCAGACGAACGCAGTTACCTGTTGTAAACATTAAGTTCCACTGATTTCAGTGGACAAAATACACGTTGGCCTGATTAATAATACAAACAATAAAGCGGCCTAATTTCCAATATCGATTGATTATTCCCGACACCCTCGCGAACTCACGACTTACTCCCGCGTCGCCAGACCGAGTTATACCGGAACACACGAAGTTTTATTATACATGAGGAAGACTCGGACGAGAGAGAAACGTAAAAATAGAAGAGAGGAAGTTTTCATGCGTCCTCCTATACGTGCAACATATATAGCGACAGTTGCATATCGCTCCCGGTGGACACCGTCTCTTCGTCGATCTTCGACTTCATCTTCTCTCCACGCCGGTACCGGTGTAAAAGTGTCCGCGTCTACCTCGCATACCCCAACATATACACACGCTCACACAGCCACGCTTTTGCACTCGCACCACGTGTCGGTTACGTCTCCAACATTCACAAACACGCGCGAGCCACAGTCTTTACACCTGAAAGCCGCGCATGAGCGACGAAATGTCACACACATTGTGAGAACACCTTTAACCTCCGCGCGCGGGGGCTAAAGCGCAAGCCTCGAATCGATCCTCCACCCCCGAGCGGCGCGTTCGCGAAGAACAACCCCCGGCCGACGACTCTGTTGTCGACCCAACAACAGTCCGAGATCACCCGACACGGCAAACATGGCGTTGGATTTCGCAGCCACGTACAAGGTTCTGGTGCTGGGCGACTCAAACGTCGGCAAGACCTGCATCGTGCATCGCTACTGCGACGAACGGTACTACGACACTTACATCTCGACGATAGGTGAGAGAGATGCATTAATACGCGATACACCCGGTACCCCCTATTTACCTGTGGCTGCGACCACCTTCAAGTCGTGCTCGGTGACTCGTCGTTTTGAGTGGTGGCTCCTCGTCGATCGGATGAATACCTTTGCGACAATCGCAACCGCTTTGCGGAGGCCAGCATCTCGTTATCACCTGCCACATCCTCCGGTCCATGACAAGCCACGCGTTTTAATTCCAAAGTAGGATGAACGCGCAGCGTACCGTTGATACAGGTAGCCGTTAATTAACCCCAGACCGCTATATATACGGTGGGGTCACATCTGTCCCTGGCACAGATACCTCGTAAACTACAACAAAGTACACGCACAGTTGCACTTTAATTTTTTTCTCTGCGTCACTCTAATTTTACACGCGAGGTTGCAGCTTTCTATTTATTATGAAACAACGCGAAACACAGAGACGACTCCCTGCTTAACGTGCATAAATTATAATAAATTATAATTCGTTCTCGCGAAGAGGAAAGTGCGTTCCGAATAGAATTTCGATACATTTGTCGAGGGTTGATTCGTGTGTCACATACGACACATGTATTCCGCAAAATGTACATTGAGTCAGCATCGATCAGCTGATTACCTTGTATCCGCCCCGAGCTTCGGACTTCGGCCTTTTAATTTTATATTTAGCTGAATTGAGTTAGCCGTCCACGTTCACGAAGTGCACACAATTATAGCGCGGGGAAAATATATTTTCTGTCCGCGTGGAAATACCTCGCGACTCTCAATTTCGCGTATGTGTGTTTCCCGGAACTATTTCGCTCTCACACAGATAGAGCTTTAATTATATTACTCGCACGCAAAGAAAATATGGGATTGTTGCGTGTAAACTGTCGCAACAGTCGCGTAATTAGCGATAGCATCTGTTACGTCCATGTCGCAGTCGATCGCGCACCCCTTGAAGGTGTTTCGCTCGGAGTTCCGCTGAATCCCCGCATTCCGGAAGTGCACGCACACTGGATGTAAATGATAAATGTCTCCGCAGGTATCGATTTCAAACAGAAGATCATTAACTTAGACGGCACGCCGATAAAATTGCAAATATGGTGAGTACTGATTATTAACGCGCTCTGTTGAGCGCTCGACGGGACGTCGCGAAAATTCGGTGTCGAGAATCAGAGCAAAAGAAGTCGAGACAAATAGAAAAGAAAGCTCGTCTCTCGGCGAATCTGTTTAGCTCCCGCGAGTGCGATAATGTCGAGACTCTACGTAAAACGACAAGCTGCATACAAACCGAGATAAAAGTACGTGAAGGCTGAAAATATATCTGTGTGTGTATTTTTAAAGGGATACCGCCGGCCAAGAAAGATTTCGAACTTTGACAACGGCGTACTATCGCGGTGCCATGGGTATCCTTTTGATGTACGACGTCACTAGTTTGGAGAGTTTTAACCATCTGTCTTACTGGCTACGAAATATCCAAGAAGTAAGATTAAAGTCCAATTCAGATGAAACATTAAGAGAAGAGGAGAATAAACTTCGCGCTGTATTAATTCTTAAGTGGCCGTGTTTAAAAATACTTTGCATAACATTCGGGGGAGAGTCCACGATGCTTCTGAGGAACTGCTTAAATATAAATTACGACGGGATTTAAAATTGGCACGGAGTCTGCGAGGGAAGTTCGTGAAATTTATTAGAAGACTGCGAAAGCTGTAATTAAGCGCGGCCAGTTAAGAGATGCGGCGTTTAATGAATTAAGAGGAAATCGCAAAAACAATGCTCGTTTCATTATTTCATAGCGTATCATGAAACATGGTTAAATTAATGACTGTACACATACGCAAAAATAGAACTTTGCAATATAATTTATCTAATAAGTGAATAATTAACAATAATAAGTGTAAAGATTCGTAAAACCGATAGAAACGCGTGTTTCGATTCGAAAGGATCGCAGCATGCGACAGAATTGTTTCGCGGGAGAGCATGAATCACAGGCACATTTCCGTTTGCATCGGCAGAATGCGTCACCGGACGTAGTAAAAGTTTTGGCAGCCAACAAATGCGACGCGACCGCGCACCGCGCCGTGGACGCTGAGAGAGGTCAGAAGATCGCGGAGAACTTCGATATGCCCTTCTTCGAGGTATCGTGCAAGGAGAACATAAATATCGAAGAAGCTTTCCTCACTCTAGCCAGAAGGATACGGGAACAACGAGGCCGGCGGGTAAGACCTGTTCGCGTTGAATTCTCTCTCGTTATCCTCTCCTTTTTTTGCAGCCACATCGAAAAGATCTTCTCTGTTGTATTCCCGCGTGACTCGAAAGTTTCCCCAGTGCTCAAATTAAGTTATAATAGAAATAAAGACTAAAATTGTGAAGAGGGATATTTCAGAATTAAAATTAGAAAATATTAGATGGCGTGAAAATTTTACAAAGTTTACCAAGAGACTATAATAAACTACGACGCGACGCGTCTAATTAAGCGGAGAAGCTTCCTCAAGCTTCCTCACTGAACAATCACGATTACAGGCCAGCCTGTTCGAGGCCTCCGAGAGAGAAGGCGCGGACAGTGTGATCAAGGCGCAGTCCCCGTCTCAACAGGGTGATGCCTGGAGGTGCACTTGTTAGTTCGGACAATCAACGGAGCTCGTCTATCCGGCTCGTTGGAGGCTTCGACGGCGGCTAGATATTAAACCCGGAGCGGGATTTCGTCTATCTTATCGTGTGCACGAGGAGGCGCTCGTTTCTATACCTGTACATACGCGCGACGCGGACGTCAGTGTCGTCGAACGGAAATCGACCTGCACGCGTTTACGACGAGAAGGAAGGAGAGAAAGAGAGAGAGAGAGAGAGAGAGAGAGAGAGCGAAAGCGAGAGAGTTGGTTCGTACCTGGCGAGAGCGGCCCGGGCAAGTATTCACGATACTACTCTACACCACCGTCTACAATAATCGCAACGGATATTATAGATATTATCTCGTAAACCCTGCACCCTATTACACGTACACACAGATATACCCACACAAATAAATACACACACATACACGTGAGAGCCGCACGAAGCGACGTCGTGACGCGAGGCGAAGAGAACGGCGAGACGGGTGGATCCGCGAACGCTTCACGCGGATCATCGGTCGTCGCGGTTATCATCGTCACGATCGTGAAGCACCTTGTGCGCCAAAGAGACGTCACGAACATTCGTCGTGGCGCATGCGAGCCGCCTCGTCGTCTTGTTCGTGCAGTCGGGAAGCGCATCGCCGGTCGAGCTCGGGCTACGTTTGAGATAATCGCGGGGCTTATTTACCGATACGCGCGATCAGTCCGTACGCTGTATGACGATTTGACTGATTATCGATGGATAAGTGGTTTCTCTACTCATCCATTCACCGTCAGCTCGGAACTTCCGCGGCGCGTGCCGAAGTTTTCTCGTTTCCACGCGAGTTTGATCCGAAAACGCCGGCAGGTCAGGGAAGATCGGCCGAGGGGGAAGATATTCGCGCTACCACACGGCCGAGGAGAATCGACGTGAGGAGATCACGAAACTCGAACGCGTCTACGATCAATTTTGCAATATAATCTCGTCGATGTTAGACTCTTTCGCAGGCCAGACACAGTCGTGTTTGGGTATCGTAGGCAGTTAAAAGAGAAAAGAATAAGAAAAAAAAGAAGAGAGAAAACGTTCAATTAGATTCGCTTGACGTATCGATAAGGCCTAAGATGGAGAGATCCTCTCGATGCTACTCGAGGCGACACTTTTTTCGCAGTGATCGACGTATTACTATTAGTATGTCTACGCGAGGAAGACATCATCAAGCGCATTGTGATTACCGTCTGAAAACGACGCTACCATGAGACTTGCGATTACCACCGATGTCTCTCAACGAGGACCAGAGCCCTCCCCTTGCGGGAGGGCTCGCGCGATTAGCTGTTACGTCGAGATCATTTCGATGCGCACATGCCAATGTTTGCACAGGTATTATCTTTATATCGAGCGTTCCGCGCAAGTAATTAAATGTCGTTTCAGTAGCGAGGAAATAGCGCGTTGAAAATTTGAGGGAAGCGTTTCAAGAAATGATATAATTATATAATACGTACGAACACATAATAGAAATTTTAATCTTGATCGAGATTTCGGGCACAATTTAATCTTGATAAAATCTCAAGCACACTTTATCCTTTACTCGCGCTTCAATTTACGATGGCATTTCACGTTGAAAGTAGCACATAGAGAAAAATGCTGTCGAGAAGGTACCAGTTCGACAACATTTTAAATTTGTATATCCGAGCAGATAACAAATAAAACCGCCACGAAGCAGGTCGCGACTTATTGCGCTTTTGCACGCGAATCTCTCGATGCTCCGAAGGGAAGAATAAATCGACTGCTCCCAGATGGATATCAGAGTAAACAAGTGGACATAACGTAAGCACGGCGAGCGCTATTTATGCGTTCGGAGGAGCTGTTGTGGTATTCGTGTATATTCTTTAAAAATGATATTTTTTCGATCCTGAATTGAAACGAAGTTTCGCAACGAGGCCAAATCGATACCGGCGAGCACTTGGCATTTGTGTATCGAATCCTTCATATCGGTATACACACACGTACACATACACACGTACACGCATACACACACATACATATACGTGATAATCCACGCTTAATTAATGCGCTTTGATAATCGTAATGAAACACATTCGGCGATCTGTGTTGCATTTTCGACGGAACGGCGTCGTTCCTCCAGCGGCGCCGCGTTGCGACGTTTCAACGATACGATATGGTACGTTCAATCTCGTTTCGTGTGAGAGAAGCACTTTCGACAGGGCATATTTGGGCGGCTGGAGGCGGCGGGGAAAGAGTTCGAGAGGGATTTCGGCCGCGTGAAATTAGATTAGCTGCCGCACAACACGCTACAAAACGTACACGTTTCGACGGCGGGGTGTAAATCACTCGATCGATCCTAAACGACATAAACCGACCCTCCTGATTTCGCGAACGTCGGGGGAGCTTTTTTTATAAACTTATGTGTGAAAAACGGACGATCGTCGGGTTTCGCTCGATTTTTTATATGAACAACACCTCTGTCGGCCGCGCGACTTTTATCCGCGAGGCAAATTTGTTGAATTTGCGCCACCGCAAACGGGTCGGTAAGACAAATCGGATAAACGCGAACGAATCGGCAGTTCTCGAGAGCGAATGAAGCTCGCTCTCGTTCGGCACGAAAGAGTCAATTGAATCCGCAATCCTTCGTATGTAGCGTTTCATCTCGAATCCGATTTGATCTACGACTCTGTTCACACGTGTCGTTGCCACGTTACGTAAGGGATGTTTTGTATTGTTTAGAGTTGTCGGTATATCTATCTCATATAGAAAAGCGCACAATCCTTTCGTAGCGAACGTAGAATCGTCGTCGCCCTTTTGATGAGAGATCACCTCCACCGTGTACATTTGGTACTTCTCGTTTACGTTGGCAGAAGAACAAATAAAAAAGCCTTTATTGTGCCTATCGATGATTATGAGGACACGAGAAGGAGGAACAGGAGGAGGAGGAGGAGCGCGCGAAAGAAACACGGGCTGGAGGATACACGAAGTATCGCAACAAATCGCTTCACGATCGATTGGGGGCGAACTAACCAGCGGGAAAGACTAACCGTGACTGTATGCGAACGCTGCTCGGTGCTCGAGCTCCAATTAGAAAAGCTCACTATTTCGGCAAACACTTCTTGGAGAGCTCGCAAACTTTTAGGATCACGCGAGAGAATCGACGAATATAATACTCGCGACGTAATACCTTTTGTTTCATTCTTTCTCTCTTAAACACTCGAGGGGAAAGGAAAAAGGCAGAGGTCTCTCGCGTCTCCCGACGAGCCGCGAACGATCGTTATCGCCGCTGTGATTGCCGATTCGCAACGATTGTGCCGCGGCAGCGCGACGGACACGCCAAAGACATGAAAGAAGGAAGGAAGAAAAGAAAATGAGGGAAAAACGAAGAAAGCGGGGCTCACAAGCGCGGGGTTCGTGTCGCATCGCGAGGGAGCAATCTTGCGACTTTTGTTCTACGTCACGTGCGGCTACACGTTACACCGAGGGGTGGCACTTCGCGAAAAGCCATTTTCGCGTTTGCCGCACGTTCGGTCGCAGCTTGCGTCGCGACACGTTCAGGTCTAAAGAGCGCATGCACTCGCCGAGAAGTGCATTATATTTGTCGCGATCGATCGACGTTGCAGCGACGATGCCGACGAAACGAGATAATTTGTGAATTCGCGCACGTTAGCGGATTAGCGATCGACACGATTTGTTTGTTTTTTTTTTCAGCCGCAATCGTAATCCTAAACGTAATAGTTACGACTTAGGCTTTGTACCATTTGCAAGACGCGCGATACTCTATGAAAATATACATATATATATTATTATTATAAAAAAAAAAAATATATATATATATATACACACGATATGATGGTATATATATTTGTTGCTTTTATATATTTATAAATCGCGGCGTATTTGTATAAAGACTACGGAATCCAATTGTCTCGCTTGCTAAGCAGCCTGCGCCCTTTAATTAACGCGGGGTTTCCCAAACTTAAGACAAGAGCAAGGGCCGGACTTATCAGTCTCCGCACTTTTCGTGGTCGCAAGCTGTATAACTTGGTACAAAAACAACGAAAATAGTCCTGCCGTATATCAAATGATCATTTATATCGCGGCTCCCCGAATTGCTTTCTAAGAAGCGGAATTGTACCTGTTGTTGTTGCAAAACTGACGTTACCCCACTCGATCTCTGAGTAAGTCATGTCAAATTTCAGTTTGATCTTGACAAATGGAATTTTGAGTGAAACAAACATACGTTTGCACGTATATTGTTAGACAGACAGAGAGAGAGAAAGATAGAGAGAGAGAGAGAGAGAGAGAGAGAGAACGAGAGAGAGAGAGAGGACCAGCGTATATATTTCTCAAAGTTTGGGAAACCTTGGATTAGCGGATTGTAGATGCGATTAGAGAAACCGGGGTGTCGAATAGGCCCTACTCGCGTTGACCCAGGATCTTCTTTAGATACGCGCGTGATTTGCCAGAACTGTCGTTCATTTTCGTCCCGCGGACTCTGTAGAGAGCGAGGAAGAAGCGCCCATGGCGAATATACTCGACGTCATCCTCGCGAGAATCAATTTCTTCGGTCGGATGCGGGGAGCTGTGGGAAGCCACTTCTGGCGATAAACTCGACCGCCGTAAATTCAGCGCTCGTAAAATCGTTCGTTCGAATTCTCGAATTAAGCATTTCACCCAATCCCATCATTTCCGCGCATGGGCGCTTGTTACTCGCGACGGATATGTGGAGAGAGTAATAAGAGCAAAAAGTAAAGAGAAGAAGTCAATTTTCGAACTCGGCGTCGCCCACGTGGACGTCGTAGAAGTCGCTTTACACGAGTTTCTGTTTCGAGGGACGCTGGATCGTTTGCCTTCATCGAAGTGCTCGATTTCTCAGCCGGAGCTGGTCTTCGGCAGACGAGCCTCTCGCGGAGGAGCATTTTTTATATCGACTTAGTTGAGCCACGTACGTGCGCGCGCGTGTAGCGCCGTAACTAGCGTATCTTCGTTAATGAGCGCAACGGCTTTTCATTAATTGGCCACACACCTATCCCTGAGATGTGTCTCCACGAAAAAAATGCACACAACAGAGTTAAAATATGCGCGCGCGTTTGTCACCGGAGACCTTTTACTTTCTGCAAATTCTCCCAATATTTCTCGCAACCCATCACTCGTATACTCGCCGGCTGACCGAATGCGAATTCGCAAAATTCCGTCCGGCGAGTTATTGATTTCTGAAATTGAATGTGTTGCACACGATCGTGCGCTTCTTCAATTTCTTCCTCGGTCCCTTTTCGTGCACGTTCTAGTTACGGCTCTGCGAACTGGTAGCTCTCGGTTCTCAACGACCTTACGATTTTCAACGATACGATGAAAGTTTCCTGACGGGAGTCAGCTATGTTTCCGTTATACAAGCCCTGTTAAGATATACATAGTGATAAAATGGGACGGGTTGATCGGGCAAACAGTTGCGGCTGCCAATTGTTTTCGATTCGCGTCAAACCGAGTGACCCACTTGGTGAAATTTTTTATAATTCGCTTTATTAACGATTGACTCGATTACATCGACAGGTTGTATTTCATCTCCGCGAGCAATACCATCTGCGCGATACCATCATCTCTTCCTTTTCCTCTTGCATTTTGTGGAGCAAGGGCCGAGTATAAGAAGCACTTTGCCCGATCAAGCCGAGGGAGTAACCGCGAAAATGTTAAACGTACGGTGTAACGACAGCTTTTAACGACGTTTCAGTTTGTCATTACGTCACCCCCACCCTCGATAACCAGCATCACGTTACCTAAATTTAATTCGAACTTCGCGATCGATTATCTGAATGTATAAGTGTATAAGTTTTTAAGTTTGTAGAAACAACTTGTTCAACTTGATGTGTCTGAATCAATAATAAATAAAAAGAAATACACACTTTTTACCTACGATATCACGCATTTTCTCTTTACACACGCATCGAGTTAAAACTGCTGACAATTTGGCACGCGTGACGCGACGATTTTGAACATAGAACCCTCAGAGAAAAAGAGAGAAAAAGTTATATCAAGGCAATATCTCATCGTCGTCACTATTTATCACTAAAGCAGAAAACGGTTAATTCTCGCACACGGAAAAAACAATTCATTAGTGTAACTGAATTTTTCGTTACTTGGAAACCAGATAAAAGACTCGGTTGTAGAAATAGAAAGATTCCTGTAAGAAATTTCTACACAACCTGTTTTCAGTCACACATACACACACACACATACACACACACAGTAACGAATATATATCTTGTCAGCGAGTTTTTCGTCTGGTCCTCATTCAGCTGCCCGAATTGAAATTTCTTTTCCGTGGAGAGAGAAAATGATTTCGACCACAGAGGCGATGAATAAATAGAAAGCAGGACAAAAGCGAGTTCTCTCTCGCTCGTGCTTAGACGTAATCAAGGAGGAAAGTGAGGCGTGAATTCTAATGTAAGCATTTTCCCGAGTGCACGTCCCAAGTGTGTCAAGCCAGCTGTCGCCCAATAACCGTACGACACACGCGCACGTGGCGTGTGGGACTCGGTATTCGCCGCGTGCTCGCCGATACGTGATAGTCTTGGACGATAAGACGGGCGAGCGATTACCGGAGTGAATCAGCGACTTGAAAATGGAGGACGACACGCACCGTTTTCCAGCTGAACGCACGCACTGAATCGTCCGCCGATGCGCACGAGGAAGTCGCCGAGTGGTCTACGTTTGACAGGTACGTGTGCCGCACATTGTGCTGCTCGGCGATTCCCTCCTCAGAATGTGGAACGTCGCGCCGAGCGCGAGTCCGCGACGTCAGTCTGACAAGTTAACCGACTCGAGTTAGCGGCTTGTCACACGTCGCGAATTGCGCTCCTCGTACATGGGACATTTTCGAGATCGCGTGTTATTCCGACGCAATTGCAATTTTTAATAACAAATTTTATAGCTTCGTATCGCAAGTCGTAAGTATACATCATTATCAAAAATCAAACGGTCGCGTTCAATTATCGTTTGATAAGAGATAAGGGCTTGGTGTTTACGCACGAAGAAGAAATGTCAGTTCGTGTAATTAAATGACGACCAGACGAGAAACTCTGTCACTGTGTCACCGAAAACATTCGTCTGAACGCGAAAGAAACAATTTCGTCAGTGTAGTTGAATTTCCTGTTACCTGGGAACCCTCACAGACGAAAAACTCAGTTGTAAGAACAGGGATATAAGTTCCGGCCTAACCGCCGTCACGACAAGACGTGTTCGAACATGTTCGGACCTTGTGATTTTTTTGGATCGTGTCTTGGAAATTTCCAAGACTTTACTCTCAAATTATATCATTAATCGGAAACTGGCGTAGGGGCATTACTCTTATAGAGGCCTGTAGCCATATATTGAAGGAAGGAAGGAAGGAAGGAAGAACAGGGATATTCCTATAGAAGGTTTCTGCTCACACAATCAACCAATTATTCTCAGTTACGGAGTTTTATTGCTGCTGAATGTTCATATGAATGTGTCTGCAGTCACGTCAACAGAAATATTATTTCTCATTAGCGAGCTTTTCGTCATTCAATTACACAATCTGAAGTCTTTTTTCTGTGCGGTTACATTAAAACTCGGCTGAGATAACAGAAAGTAATTGGCTGAATGGAAACCTCCTACAGGAATCTTTCTGTTCCTCCACAATCGAGTTTTTCATTTGGTCCCCTAATAACAAAAAGTTCGGTTACATTAATGGAGTTGTTCCTTCCGTGCACATGTTAAACATAATCGTTAAGATATAAAAATACAACCTGACGTGTCGTGCTGAATCGCCGTCTCAATTTTTTGAGCAATCTCTAAAACCTTGGACGAATTTCGAACTTTGATCGTCGAGAAATGACAATAACGCGGGAATAGCGGTACGTCGTCGGCAGTATCATTGAAGTGTGCAGCACGTGCGGCTTATGACTCACTGTAAGACGCGACGTGAATGAATCACGCATCTGAACGAGATGCATCTCGCGCGCGGGCGCCTAAAGTCTTTTGAATCGGAAAGAACCGCCATGTTTCTTCGTATAGGCGCGACTTACCGACAAAACTGTCGAATATCCAACGCGGATTCTTCGATCGATTTATACCAAAATATCGAGGCATCGAGAATCTTCGGACAGCCTGCGAGCGGAAAACGAAAGAATTCTTCACGAATAGTCCTCGATAACGAGGATTTCTCGTGAGTGAGAGTTTTCGCGGGTAACCTTATTTACTCATCGTTCAATTTCAAACGGACTTTTCGATTTCACGATATCAACTTTATGCTCCACCGTTAAAATATTCGATGTCAAGGCTGAAGAATGTACCTTTTCGGTTCTACACAAGAACTCGCAGCCAAGAAGAACGCTTATTCATCCCTGCGATCCGGAGTCAACCGCCGCGGTCCCGCCGATGGAAATATGGCTTCCCGACGAAAGAGAGCGCCAAAAGTCAATGGTCTGAGGAATAGAGAGTGGCATGCGCGCGCCTTGCCCAGATCGGGGGCCTGTCGACGTTTCCGAGCGCAATATGGCTGCGGTGACAGACACGGGGAGCTGTCAACCGTGCCTAGGATCTGTCTAAATTCCGAGCCACGCGGCGGGCCGTATCGCGTGCGCGTCGCGTCGCGCTGCGTTGCGTTTCGTTTCGTTGCGTTGCGTCGCGTTGCGATGCGATGCGCACCGTAAGTCAGCACGAACCGCTGGCGAGACGCACCACAGTCGGGAAACCCACGACAGGCCTTCGCCGCGGACGCGCGTCACTTCGTGACTCGTACGTATGCACGCACGCTGATACGTATGCTACACTCGAGAGCCGTTTTCCCTCGTGAACATTCAGCGGACTCCTCCTCGACCGGCCTTCCTTGTGATTGTCGCCTCTCGCGTCCGCCTACGCACCGCCGAGGAGTCGCGTCGGGCTAATTGAGCGATCTTGACTCGTCAACGAGCGACCGAACGCTCGCTGTCGCATGGTGAGCCTAGTGTGCCGCTGTTTTCCCGCAGATTCACCTTGTGCCCAGGATGGAGGCGATAGTGGAGTATAACTACGTGGCGCAGGAGGACGACGAGTTGACCCTGAGAAAGGGTGACATCATCACCGAGATCAAGATGATGCTCGGGGGCTGGTGGGAAGGCACTTTGCGAGATAAGCGTGGCATGTTTCCTGACAATTTCGTTAAGGTACAGTAGGCTCACTTGTGCTTGTTGCCTGTGTATATTTGGTCGTTTTAACAATGCAGAAGCACACGTTGGATATGCACAGGTATTAGAACCATCATCAACCAGTGGTGGTAGCAGCAACAATGAGACTATAATTAGCGTCAAGTCTGATGAGGTCACTTTGAGAAACGGTTCTAGCAGACGTCTCTGCAAAGTCCTCTTCAGTTATGAACCTTGCAATGAGGATGAATTAACTCTAGTACCGCAAGACTCCATAGAGTTCTTAGGAGAAGTGGAAGAGGGATGGTGGAGAGGTCGTCTCAGAGGTAAAGTCGGTGTGTTCCCTTCCAACTTTGTTTCCCCTCCTGTTCCTGAGGAGCAGGACAAGCATAAGGATCGAGATAAAAAGGAGATGTGCAGGGTACTCTTTCCTTATGAGGCTGCTAATGAGGATGAACTCACCTTCATCGAGGGAGAGATCATCACACTTTTATCCAAGGATGCACCAGACAAGGTTTGTAATTGATCTGTGTGATTAATATATTGGTGAATTAATAAAACTAAATTGTAAAACTATAAATACATGACAAATAGATTTACATCAATATAAAAATGTGTAATGATTTATTTAGGGTTGGTGGAAGGGAGAATTGAATGGACATGTGGGCTTGTTCCCTGATAACTTCGTGGAGGTTATCGGTGGGAAGAATGAACACCAAGAATCAGACCAGTGGCACGATTCAACGTCGGTCAGTACAAAATTGAGCATTAGGCATTCCCACCAAGTGAAGAAAAGCGAGAAGGCGCACGTTAGAAAAAGTTTGGACTCTAGGAATGTGCATCCGAGTAATATATCAGGTAAAGCATGCAACAATTCCTTAGCAGAGCGACATTTTTGCATCGGTGAGTATAACATTGTAATTTCGTGCTCCATTAGATCACTTTCCTGTCATAGACAGCACTAAAAAGGCCCTATCGACGTCGTCTTCCTCCATATCGACATCATCGACAGTTGCCGGGACCGGAACTGCAGGCGGTGATAAGAAAGCGGTTAGTGGCCACTCGATCATATCGAGCCTGAAACGTCTCGTGAGCGACGTGGGGAATAATAACGGTATCGGAAACACGAGTGCCGCTTTGGGCGAGGAGCTAGACGGAGTGGAGCGAGGGGAGGGCGCGCCGCTTTCGCATTTGACAGCTTCTCGCGCTAAAGCGCCTCGCCGACGCCCGCCTTCTTCGCAACATCTGCGCCATCACGCTGCTGGCTCCGGTAGTGTGAACGCGGTCCTTACGCTACCTGCCGTTCCCAGCACTACACTGGTACATGTTCACCTGCTAATTCGATTCGCTGACTCGATAAAAGAGACTGATAATTTCATTTTTTTTTTCTATAACTCATAGGAGGATGATTTATCTAATGGGCGTGCCGATACCATGTTGGAGCAAATAGCGGATGAAGAGACAGATGGGCTTGCGGCAAAAGCGAAGAGAAAAGCACCATGGGTAACTGATTGAAACAAAACAATAGAAGCTGAGTACACGAGTCCTCATAATCTTATCGTTTCTAATATCACCCATTTGGTTATAGGTCGAGGAATTAAAGATGAATCAGATGGAGAGGAGGAAGACTGCGGTCGAGCGGACAGACAAAGTAGAAGTGAAGAAAGAACGGAATTTCTCACGGTATATTTCAGCTTTTTGCCAATATATGTTGTATTGTTTACTACGAGCGTGTAACGCGTGTAACGTGTGCATTATCTGTCCGGCAGATTGATGACGCAAACGAACGTCGTGGATCCTGTCAATAAAGCGGACGCTGACAACGACGATAGTAAACAGAAAGAGGCAAAAAGTCCGAGAGCCGACCCAAGCCCCCACACTGACAACAGTCCCGCTACGCCATCCGGACAGCCGGCCTACGTTCCATATGCCCTTTACAGCAAGTTATTGGAAAGGGTAAGTGTCGAAATAATTTGTTATTCGTTAAATTTGCATTTCAATACGTCGCGTTTACGTGGAGACACGCGATATTAATTTAAATTGCTCCAACAAGGTCGCCGCGTTAGAAGAGAAGCAAGCAGTATTGCAACTGACGGTAGGACAACTCTCCGAACAGCTCGTACCTCTCCTTGCGAATGCATCGATTAACAGCAAAGTATAATACGTATCGACATAAAAGAGAGTGAGAGTGAGAGAGACAGGGAGAAAGAGAGAAAAATCGATAGTATATTTATCTGCCCGTACTACCAGTGTGTTTTCTCATTGCGCCATTAATGAGAAAGGAACTAATGCTGCTGCTAGCATATAATGTTTATTGCTATATTAATGTTGTTATATATTTATTCAGTTTTTGGTAGCATCCGTTTATTGTTTGCTCCGTCAATGCAGTATTCGTGTGGGCCGATAAAAAAAAGAACGCAACATTCCATACGACATTCTTCGCCTATAGAAGTATTATATCTTGTCACTCTTGATTTGCCGATAATTTTAACAGATCTCACTCTGACTGCCTTTGTATTTCCCCCTTTCCCGTCTTGATAGTCTCGGCTGTTTTATAACTGTTTGCTCGTAGTATTCGCGGTATGACGACTTCAATCGTGACGGCTCCATTTCCTTTAATTTTAAGCTCACGACACATATCAGAAACTCGCGCGACATAAATCCTCAATGTATATTTGCACAAATTTTAGATCGTTGCGACGAAACCTTCCTCCCCCACATTATATCAGTAGCACGACAAATCTTGCGACGTAAAGTTCCAAAAACAAAAAAAAAAAAGAAAAAAAAAAAAGAAAAAGAAAATGGCGCAAGTGTCCTTCCAAGTGGGTGTCCGTGCTCAGTTTTACCAATCTGCATTTAATTTGTTGTTTTATATATTACTCATTTTTTGTGTGAATTCGCGTATCTTCTAAGAGAATTTACGCGAGATTGCTGATTATTTTAATTTTAGTGTCAAGCGATAAGGAATCGTAGAGGAAGAAAACGAGTACTTAAATTCGTAGTTCTCGATAGGGCGTAAGAATATCAATTGTGATCCTTTCATCTTTTTTGTCCAACGAATACAGCTGCCTCGCGATCGTTGCGTGATGATTTGCCGTAAGTTTCTTGAGTAATCCGTGTGCCAACGCAAAGCATTTCTGTTCGTCGTATTTTTCCGGGATGCCTCATTCGACGATAGGAGTAAGTGATACCCTTGTCGATCGTTTCGGCAAGTGATATATCACCGAACTGTGACTAGTAATGACCCGTACAAGCCTAAGTCGACACGTACGTCGAGCCATTATTTTCCACCCGCTTATCAAAGCATATTCCATTTTTGAGTATGTCTTTGAAACGGTGCTAATAACGCGATATGTGATATATCGTAGTGTGTCGCATGGTTATAATGTACACGTTTAGGAATGAGGCAGCAAGAGATCCGTGAGAAATAGCTTCTGTTGTTTTGAATGAAAGTATCGTGACAGAACGATAAAAGCTCTAGGCGCCCTGTAGCCCACTTAGAGACAAGAAAAGAAAAAGAGGAGAAACGAGAAAAAAAACGACAGATTAGCAGGTTTATTCGATGTAATCGCGAATCGTGTTGACTATGAAGAAGAAATGATGTTTTTATTTTTTTATGACGACGGAATTTTAAGTGGATATGGTAAAAGTAACGAAGATTTATAGATATATGAGAGAGGAATGCGAGAGAAACGAGAAACGCTATTTAGTTTTTTATATCGGTATTTCACGAGACATAGTTGATGCTTTAGCTAACAATAGCGGACTGAAAGGTTTTCCTCCGATAGCAAGTCAGGTTGATACAAATATCTATATCTATATACATATGTAGGTTTTATTCTTTTCTGTTGATTTTTCTGTCTTTTTTTAAAGAGAACCATGTGTGAGATTGATGTGTCATGCAAATAATTGTGAAGTCTAGCAGAATCTAGGATTTTAACGCATTTATTTGGTCGTTGAATGTATTCATTTGTTGAGTCATCATTCGTCAGTGAACTACGCAATATTCAACGCTTGTGCAACAAAATCTATACTTTTTTTGCAGCGACTCAGTCACTCAATGGCGTGTCTCGCGAATTTAATCGTATTTACACTTGACATTTGTAGTCTCGATAATCTCGCGAGAGAAAATTTGTGTTTGCGTATAAACGAAGTATTTCTTTGTCTCAAATTTATTTTCACGGATAATAACGTTTTAATTGTTATCGATTGTGTATCAAAAGTCCGTCCCCGAAACGCCGAAAAGAGATCAATGAGCAGATTCATCGTATAAGTTGTTCCCCTTAAGGCTGTAATATCTTCGTAAAGTGCATTTCTTAGTGGAAACTTCGTACGTTGAGTAATTTTATAATGTGACTGTTTTGTTTCTTTATATTCCTTTGCCTTGAGGAAAGTATTATTGTTAGTGTATCGTTCATAGTGTTTATTTAAAGTAGATTGATATGCACATATACTGGAATTAAAAAAGAAAATTTTTACATCGCGAAGTAAATTCGTGATGATCAGTTATGACAAAAGTTGAGTGATAATACACGGTGTATATAGTAACTATTATACTCTTACCTAATAGATAAAAGCATAATAAAATAAAAACATAATAAAATACATACACTTTTTTTAAATCCTCCGTCGCAGTTGTGACGTCGGATATCTCGTGTACTATCACTTTAATTCGTGTCGTAACCGATTATCGCACAAGCTCATGAGTAACGAACTCGTAATCGTGACCACTTCTCGTGATGTGCTTCTAACTTCGCCGGAAAAAGCGTGCGCAAACTGTTAAACAATTGAAGAAGCGTACAATTATATGAGAATAGCTTCCACAAAGTTCGACAAGCTATAAGACCCGATCTACAATAGATGCAGTAAGGAGTAGGAGTAGGAGTAAAAAGTAAGCAGTAAGTAAATGGACCAATCACAATCGATTATTCTTAAATCGTGAGAATGGAATTGGCCAATTTGCTTACTGCTTATTTCTCACGCCTATTCCTACTCCTTACTCCATCTATTGTAGATCGGGCCTAATTGATTAACGAAATCGCCTTTAACAATGTAAGGATCTGCCTGCGTTTGCGGGATATTGTCAGTCAAAAAGTTCAGTTTGTAATTCCGTCTTCTCCGACGGCAAATCGATCACTATTACCTTCATACGAATTTCGTCAAAACTTTGACGATATATCATAGACTACGATGGTAATCACTCAATCGACGAATAATTCGTTGTCGTTAAGCACAATGAAGTCAGATTTGACTGAGAAATCGAAATTTTTTGACTGACTCGGTAGAATCTTGCGGATGATTTCGCGAAGCGCTTACTTTCTGCCCAATTTCACGCGAGACTGCTTTCGTTGAATGACAAAAATTTGACACGTAACTAACGTTCGTTTCTAACGTGATAACCAAGGGCAACTCTCTTAATCGGCATTTAACATTGACCATGCTTACGAAAAGAAAAAAAAAAGAAACGAACAATGTTTGAAATAAACGAAACCACGACGACAGAACGTTTTCGCAGTCGTATTATATCATTCTCACAGCGGAGAAGCACATCTTTTATACTTTTATATTTACGCCGCAGAATATATCAGGTGAAAGAAAAAGGTTTCAAACGCGACAAAGCACTTTTTTACGTGGAATACGTTCACTCATGTTCGTACGAAGAAGAGCCTCTGTTTGCGAAACGCAACACCATCGTCATACAGTGCACACTCTCGCAGATACGACGCGTGACAATAATAATACATAGTTGTTAAGCGAGCTCGGCAGAACTTTTGCTGTTTTTCGCAATCGCGTTACAATTACATTTCGCTACTTAAGTAAGAGATCGTTCATCCAGTCAGCGTGCGCTGTTAGGAGCTCGATTTAAGGGATATTTCGGTTCTGTTTTTTATTAACGCGCGCCCGCGCCTTTGGAGGATATTTTTACAACGAATACAACTCGTTCGTTAAGTATCGAATCAGTCGTCGTTTCGTCACTTTTAAACACAGGTGCATCGTCTTCCCCTCGTAATGAACTCTGCGATCCGAATCATTGTACTTGAAACGCACTTGACTCTTCTCAACGGCACAGCGCAATCGTTTTGAGTGTTGACGACCAG